GGAATAGAAGTAAGGAGAAAGTGGAAGAGGATGAGTCTGAGGTGGCTGTCAGAAAGCAGCTAGGGTCAGCAGCTCCCTAACATCAGCAGTATACAAACAGTTTTCCACACATACCTCTTTAAAGATAGGGTCAAGACTGACATATTATTTTGCTTCTCATAATTAAGAGAAGACCAACAAAAAAACCAACTAAGAACCCCATGTTTGATGCTCAGAAATTGTAGGGGATCTAGAACAAGGACATGAAGATTCCTAGGGGATGCTTATCTCGTTGTAGTGCTGAAGAAAATCCAAACAAGTGCTGACTGATTTTACTGTTCTTCCTCTTATGTATACTATTGAAATGTGTTTTACAGACTTTACCAAATTTAAGGTGTAAAAATCTCTGCTTAGATCATTCTTAGTGGTGGCTTAATGCCTGTCATGGGTTTGGCGTGCCTTTTGTGCCAGTTTTAAGAATTCTGTCACATTCAAGTCAGTAGTTCAAGGAGAACATCTCCACTATCAAATGTCTCTGGTACTGAATCACTCCCTCTCTACTAACGAATTTGCTTAGAATGAGAAGTCATTTAAAAAATCCCTGCAAGTGGTCCGAATGGAAGAGCTTCCTTCAGCTGTCCTTTCCACAGAAGAGGCTTTGTGGCAATGCATGACTAATGAACAAGCAAAACATGGAAATTTCTAATTGCTGCTATCACACAGTGAGAGCGCTTAGTCTCACAAATGCTTAATTTTCAGACTACACCCGTCTGGCGAGGTAGGACAACTTTTAGCCCTGTGCAATGATGCTCAGAGGCTGATCCCCTCAGATTACAGAAAATTTAGCCAGTCCTCATTCAGATATGTCACAGTGAGGAAAGTACTAGCAACACTCTATCAGGACTCAGAAGAAGTTTTCAGGTTAAACAGGTGGGAAACAAAAGACCCTCCTTTGTTTTAAGATCAGTTCCTATGCTGTAGCCAAAGTTTCACCAGAGGACAAGTTTGAAATCTCTTTTTTGAATGTTTCCAACCCAGATTAGCTTGTACAGGAGTAAATTATTTTTATTGTTAGTCTTTCCTTGGTGCCTGTGTGGGTTTTGTGAAAAATGTAAAAGGAAAAAAAAAGTTTTCTCTCAGAATTTTAAATTATATTTTCGTTACAGGTATTTATAATACAGCAAAGATTTTATTGAATAGACAGAATTTTAAAAGGCATAATAAACTATACTGAAGAACCAGATTTTTTCTTGGGAAAGAGACAATTTCATCCAATAAAGGTATTTTTTAAAGGCATGATACAACAGCAACTGCAAGATGTATGTGATGTGATGTTAAAATTTGTCTACTAGTAGTATAATACAGTGTGTTAGCAGAGCTCAGTGTGTGGTCTTAACATTTGTAAAGAAAACAGCAAGATAAAGTCAAACTATTGACTTAAAAGGACTGGGAGGTAGAGTTTAGAATGAAAAACTAATGGCTTGAGGAATTAACCAGGGCTTGGGTGGAAAAAAAAGTGTGATTTATTGAAAATGAAGACTGCCAGGGAATTTACTTCACCAGGAACACTCACATGCTTACTGTTCACAGCTGCAGCCAAGTAAGGTTTGCTGTGGATATCAGTGACAGCAGCACTGCTGTAGTTCAGACCCAGTGGCTCTAAATTACAGAGTTCTGCCTGTTTCACCTGCAGATGTGTGTGTCAGAAGCTGTAACGAAATAATACAACAGAATTATTATTGCTAGAAGGGCTCAAATGAAATACACAGGTCTTCATTGCCTTGCATCAAAGCACCAGCAGCTGTTGAAATATGTGCTGTTCCCTCCACCACTTTGCATTTCAAGCCAGTAGAGAAACAAGCCCTTAATACATCCTTACATGCTGGAAATTGTTGTGGAGAACTGCTGTTTGGGGGTAGCTGTTTGCTGGTCTGTACTGAGGAGTAAGCTCTGTGGGGACTGTGTAGCCACATGCACAGTTTGGGGTGTTCCCTGGGCTGCTCCAAACTACACTGATCCCTACATGTGACCAGGAAGGTGCAGTCATCTCCATGGAACTCCCTTCTCCCACTGTTAGCCTGAAAGGACATTGTGTTTGAGCAAATAGAGATAAACAAGTCTGCTTTTCAAAGCTCTAACTTCTTGAGGACTTACGGGTCATACTCAGTTTCAATATGCTTCTTGAGTCTGAACTAACTCCAGTTCAATTACAAAACCTGCTTTGTCAAATGCTTCAAGGATAATGAAAACACTTTCTGTGCTTTCAGTAAAGTACAGTTCAATAGCAGAAATACTTCTAGTAAATGTGCATAGGAAGTGGATTTCTGAAGTAGCATAAAACAAAAGAAATATAAGTCTACATTAGAGCAAATTACCAAATTTCCACACTAAACAATGGTTTTTCTCTGGAGTTGACTGGGTTATGAAGCGATATTGCCGCATTTGAACTTTCTAGCTTTACCTGCTTTGTGTTATCCAAGCAGAGTTTCTCTTCAGTTCATGTCTTGTAGCTCCAAACTTGTAAATTTAGTTTTCAAATCAAGTGTCTTCTTTCTTATCCCTCCCAAAGTCACTTCACTCTGAGAAAACAATCATAAGCATCTTCAGGAAACAGAAAGCTATTTCAGGAGAGAAAAAGGGACTTTACAAATACAACATTGGCTTTAGTGTTGCATTCATTGTTGTATCAGTGTCAGAAATTAGGAGAGGACATTGTCTATTAAAAGAGCACATTCACAGGAAGGGGAAGCATCTCATTGTTGCTCCTGAGCCAGTTGGTGTCTTGCATGCAGATCACACCCTGGAGGTGACACACTTAACTCCTTGTGCATCAGAGCACCAGAAGGACCTGTGCTGTTCCTGGGACTCCTTCTGCAAGGGTAAACCAGCCTCCACCACTGCATTTTTCCAGGCATTACAAACCTCAGGAAAGTTGGCTTTCAAATTAGTTCGGCTCTGAAAACAATGATAGTTACAGAGGAAAAAAATATGGTTGCTAATGTACAACATCACATTTGTGTTTATGCAGATACAGAGTACCTGCACAGCCTAAAATCTTTCTGTTTGATCAAATATTTCCTTTCAGGAAGTCCATTTCCAGAGCTCCGAGGAGCCATGACATTCACAACAGTGTTTTGGAAAGAAACAACTCTAGAAATGTGTGTTTTGCTCTGAATCAATTACTTGGCTAGCTAATATTTCTGACTGCAGACTGAAAAAGCTCAAACTCCAACCTGACTAGGCACTAATAGAGATAATTTCTGTAAACATTATTCTATTTAATTACACAAGTACTCATTTAAAATATCACTTCTCTTACTGCAATTTATGAGGATAATGTAACCAGAAAGAACAAGAACTTTTGCTTCCAGCAAAGCAGTAAATGCCTAGTGGAAAAAAATAGGTCTAATATGTTCCAAGTTCCACTAAGATACCAGAGAAAAATAAATAGATAAGACATAAAAGTGGGTAGTTATCAGGAAAATTTATCTTAATGGTTATATCATTTCAGCTATTTGACTGCCTCCAATCAAATGTAGCTAAGCATATAGTTCTTTCTTTCTGATGTCATATTCTTCCCCTAAAACAAATGAATTGGTTGCTGTTACATGCAGCATTTTGACTATGGCCACATTATCAGTTGGTGTTTCAAATCATAAACCTGCAGCATAATGCAGTGCCATATATTCTGATAAGGAAATGCACTTAGAACTAAGGACGTGCAGCTTTGCATACGTTGACGCATGAAGTGCTCATGTGAAACAGCTCCCTGAAGTTTAGACAAAGGGGAGAGCCATATGCCAACTCCATTAGACCCAGCCAAATACTCCTCCGCTTCGGAATCAAAAACATCCAGGAAGGCAGAGAGAAGTCCAGTTCCACAGTTCAGTAGAGA